TCTTCATAATCCAGTCGATGACCAGGAGAAAGAGAAAGGGTGAGAGTAAGCACCCTTGCCTGACACCGGTCTTCACCTCAAAAGAGTCTGTCAGCTGACCTCCGTGTACGATTTTGCAGTTGAATCCATCATAAGAATTCCGTATGATGTTGACTATTTTCTCAGGCACACCGTAGTGTCGAAGAAGCCTCCACAGTGTTTTCCTATCCACGCTATCAAATGCTTTCTCGTAGTCGATGAAGTTGATGTAGAGTGGTGAGTTCCATTCAATTGATTGTTCCACAATGATCCGTAATGTAGCAATTTGGTCAGTACACGATCGATCCTTACGAAATCCGGCCTGTTGATCTCGAAGTTGGGCGTCTACGAAGTCCTTCATTCTGTTTAACAATACTCTGTTGAAGACTTTGCCTGGTATTGAAAGAAGAGTGATGCCTCTGTAGTTTTCACACTTGCTGAGATCGCCTTTCTTTGGTATTTTGATGAGGTATCCTTCTTTCCAATCTGATGGTACTTGTTCCTCATCCCAAATCTTCTTGAAGAGAATGTGAAATATTTTCGCAGTTGCTTCCACATCTGCTTTCATTGCCTCTGCTGGAATGTTGTCTGGTCCTGCTGCTTTGCCGCTCTTGATTTGTCTGATGGCTATACTGATCTCCTCAATCGTAGGTGCGCCAATATTAATTGGGAGGTCCGTGGATGCTGCTTCGATGTTGGGTGGGTTCAGTGGAGCTGGTCGATTCAATAGTTCCTTAAAGTGCTCCACCCACCTATTTCGCTGTTCGTCAGTGTTGCTGATTATTTTCCCTTCCTTGCTTTTCACTGGTTGTTCTGGTTTACGATAGTTTCCGGCGAGCTTCTTTGTAGTTTCGTACAATTGTCTCAAGTTTCCTTCTCTTGCAGCCTTTTCCGCCGTCATTGCTAGATCTTCCACACATTTTCGTTTGTCAGCTCTGATGCTCTTCTTCACTTCCCTGTTTGCTTCTGTATACTCGGCTTGCGCCTTAACTTTCTCTGCTCTTGTTCGGCTGACATTCACTGCTGCCTTCTTGTTCCTCCTTTCTTCAATTTTTTCAAGAGTACCAACAGAGATCCATTCCTTGTGATGGTGCTTCTTGCGACCAAGGACCTCCTGACATGTTGAAGTGATTGCCTCCTTAATCGCTTTCCAATTGTTCTCCAATGTTGCTTCCTCTCCATTGAGTAGATCTTGAAAGGCCTGGAACCTATTGGTGAGGGCTATCTTGAATTCGTTGAGTTTTACGGTATCCCGAAGAAAGGCCGTATTAAACTTCTGTGATGTTGTCTGCCCCGCTGTCCAGTGCTTCTTTAGCTTCAATCTCATTTTGGCGATCAGCAAGTGGTGATCTGAAGCTATATCAGCTCCTCTCTTGGTTCTCACATCCTCCATGGTCCTTCTGAACTTTTTGTTGATACAGATATGGTCAATTTGGTTTTGAGTAGTGTGATCTGGTGAAATCCATGTGGCTTTGTGAATGCGTTTGTGCGGGAATATTGTGCCACCGATGACCAGTTTGTTGAAGGCACATAGGTTTGCAAATCTCTCACCGTTTTCGTTCCTTTCTCCTAGTCCATGTCGTCCCATGATGTCTTCATATCCAGTGTTGTCCATTCCAAGCTTGGCATTCAGGTCTCCCATAAGAATCGTCAAATCCTTTGGTGAACATTTCTCGACGATTGACTGCAGCCTTTCGTAGAATTGATCTTTAACGTCGTCATTGTAGTCATTGGTAGGTGCATAACATTGGATGACGTTCATTGTAATGTCCTCTTTCTTCGTTTTGAAGGATGCCTTAATGATCCTCGGCCCATGAGATTCCCATCCTATCAGTGCCTTTTGTGCATGTTTGGACAGCATCAGTGCAACTCCTTGTGTATGTGAAGCGTTTTCCTCTTCATGACCAGAGTATAACAGCAGTTCCACTGAAGCAAGTCTCAGTTGTCCTACCTGTGTCCAATGTGTTTCACTGATGCCGAGCACCTCGAGGTTGTATCTTTTCATTTCTGCCGCAACTTGAAATAGTCTTCCAGTCTCCCACAATGTACGAACGTTCCATGTACCTAAAAAAATGGTTGCTCTGGTTGTCAGAAGAGGCATCGGCCCCGTGACTTCCGAGGGAACTCGGCTTTCATCACGAGACGTCATAATTCTTCTTCCAACTCCCAGGGCAGAGTTAAAATGGTTTGAATTATTTTTTCTGGTTAGCGTTTTTTTGGCAAGTGAGATTTCAACGGAATGGGGCCGCCAACCCCATGTCCAACCCTCCTCCTTTATCCGGGCTTGGGACCGGCAGTAGCCCCTAAGGTTCTACTGGCGGAGTTCTGATTTTATCAGTGCTCTCAAAATATTTGGATTGTAGCCAGTAAATGATATTCATTATGTACGTTTCCTTCTGTTCAATGACAGGCGAATGTGCAGTATCTTGCGTAGACAAATATTTCTAAGTACTTTTACCTTTTGAATAATGGTTGTAGCAGTCCTCCAAGTTTCCCCTCCATGCAGTAGAACTATTTTAAAGTTCGTAATGAAAATCCTGATTTAGGTATTGGCTGAAGTTCTGTTTGGTCTGCAGATGGTCTTCACTTGTAGAAATGCTGCTGATACGTGTCTTCACATCCGCATCAGATACACCTTGCTTATGACAATAGTGGTTGCTATGTATGCGGAAGTTTCCATTTCTTCAACCACTTGTCCATCAAGTTTGATCCATCATAAGTATTCCATATGATTTCGACTGTCTTCAAAGGCACGCTGTAGTGTTTTTGAAGCCACGATAGTGTCATCCTGTCCACGTTGTGAAATGCTTTTTCGTAGTACTGATAGTAAAGTGGTGCCTCAGTAGTTCACACACTTGCTGAGATCTCCTTTCTTCGGTGACTTGATGAGGTGTCCTTCTTTTCACTGTGCTGTTACTTCTTCCTGCCAAATCTTGCTGAAGAGTATATGGATTATCTTTGTAATTACTGTTATTCCAGCTTTCTGTGTCTCGGCTGGAATGTTGTCTGGTCCCGCTGCCTTGCCGCTCCTGACTTGTTTGATGGCTATACTGATCCCTTCATTTGTTAGTGGGCCAATGTTGATTGGGAGGTTCATGGGTGCTGCTTCAATGTTGGGTGGATTCAGTGGGACTAGTCTATTCAAGAGTTCGTTAAAATGCTGTACCCATCTGTTTTGTTGTTCTTCAATGTCGGTGAATGCTTTGCCTTCCTTGTTTTTCACTGGTCGTTGTGGTTTGCGATAGTTTCGAGCGAGCCTCTTTGTTGTATCATACAATTGTCTCATGTTTCCTTCTCTTGGAGCCTTTTCCGCAGTGATTGCTAGATCTTTCACATATTTACGTTTGTCAGTTCTGATGCTCCTCTTCACTTGCCTGATCGCTTCTATGTATTCAGCTTTTGTGTTGGCTTTCTCTGTTGTTGTTCGGGCGATATTGATTGCTGCCTTCCTGTTCTTACCTTTTTTGAATCTTATGCAGAGTATGAACAGGGGTTTATTGCTTGTGATGGTGGTTCTTGTGGTTG